TCTTATATATTATTTTGAAATGCTGTGTCTTCGCAATGCGAACATTAGAAATTGTAAAATGAATCTACATAAAATTTGCTGTTACTTGAAAATTAATTTAATTGTTTACTAAGTAAGCATAATTATTTTCATCGAATTTAAAACAAATTTTTCAATAGGGTGCTTCCTTAATAAAGGTTTGTTTGGATTGCTCAATCTTCAACAAGTATCGATATATTCACTTGTAGAATAGAATTGAAAATTAACCTTATCATATGAACAACTTAACTGCACGCAATTCTAGCAGGATTATCATAGTATTTTCCTTCAGTGGAAATCGTTAAAATAGTTGACGAGAAAAGTTTTTGATTTCATCTCTTTGTGCTGCAATTAATATACAATTATCGCCTACTGTATGTAGTGGTTAAGGAATTATACTCTTAATTCCAAGGATGTTTTACAGTTAATGTCGGCTACTTAAAGTTCATTATATGGTATTTTACAGCAGTTTATCAATAGAACTTATTTCGTAATTGTTCGTTCTGTTCTTTACAGATTTTGGCTGCCAGAGGTCAAGGTGAGGAAGCCTTCATCAGAAGGTTGTGTTTTTTTTTAGATTTATTAGATTTGTCATTATCGAAACAAATTTCGTTCCTGAAATAATGATTTGATAGACTAACTGGGAATGGGATTTGCCTGTTCAGTCTATGCATATTCATATGATATTACACGTACGTATGTTAAAGCAATAAAGGAATGAAAAAAAAGTTATAGGTGAGAAATTTTTAACGCTTAATATGAGTAGCGCGTAGCGATTTAAAATATACGAGTAATTCCTTATAACTCGTTTTAAACGAAACGATGTTAATTTTAGGCTATGTATGAGGCTCAATGTAATAGCTATTCTTAAAGCCTCCACTCTTTGGGTACGCACACAGTGAAAGCAGGTTTGCACGCGCGGGCAACCTGCTCCAACCTGCCACAAGAATGAACATAGGATAATAAAGTAAGTGTTCACAGTGAAAACCTGTACGAATAGGCTTCTGTATTCTATGGTTTCAGGCGCCAGCCTGAGCAGGTAACCAGCTCGCTGGCAACCTGCTTTCACTGTGTGCGTTCCCTTTAGAGCCGATGCCACCTGCCATATTCCTAAGATGAATTAGGCGTTGTATAATTTTTATTTAAACTCAGCCATTTCAATAACTAGTTGAAAAGTATGTTTGAAAGATTGCTGCTCGATGTGAGTGATGACAGCGTCAGGCTTGTGACTGAATGTTTAGGTCAATTAAGCTCTAGTTAAGAGCCAATTAAAACCCAATTAAGAGCAACTAAGAAGTCACATTTGGTGTCCTTACTCCCTTCCTGGCACAAGACAGATGAAGTGGTCAACCTGCAGCTCGTGCCGCAGGATGGTAGAATACACGTGGCCTGGGACATGAAAAATTCCACCAAAGACGTAACCAAGTTCTTGGTCACGTGGCACTCGGACGAACAACCCGACCAATCATGCCTGGTTGACGCCCCCGCCACCGACACCTCTTCATGCGATGGGTTCTCCCTAAGAAGCTGCGCTGCGGTCACCGTCGCGGTGCAGCCTCTGAGAGCAGACGGGTCTGGTATCGGCCCGGAGGCTTCTGATGTTATGTGTCCAGGTCTTGCAGGTGGGAAGAAATGTCGTGGTTACCCTGAATAATTATTGCAGTTAAACTTGTGATCAACGTGAATGCACGGCGTGATGTAGCCCCTAAAATGGGCTTTTGAATTTTTTGTATCAATCTCGTGAATCTTTCTAGTACATTCGGGAGAATGTTGGAGAACAGTAGTTCGATATAAATTAAGTATTTGGAGCCATTTCTATGTTTGTTTTAATAATAAATGGATAAATTTATGATAGTTTCGTTCCAGAAATTTCAAAGTCTATAGGGAGTATGTTTGCCGCCTTACATATAAGGATGGTTTATCTTTGTGAACAGCTCCTATGGACGTATCCTGTTCACAAGAAGATGACATGAGCCTAAAAGTTCAATGGACTGCACCATCAACGACTTGTGAAATTTCGCAGTACAGCGTAAACTACACAGCCGTTGTTATCAGGACCGAGGAAGTCTACACGAACTACTCCCTCGTCGACGCGACATCGGAATACGTCCTCCAACGGCCAATCTCATTCACTTTTTACAACTTCGACGTGAGGGCCGTTGTGGCTGACTGCGGTCCTGGTGAACCTGGTTCGTGTCAAGTGATAACGAACGATGAGCGTAAGTACAGCTATCTTAGGCAAAACTATCATTCATAGTAGATATCTGACTAGTATCTGCCACGCCATTTAATCGATAAACATGAATATCTTCCAATGAATATACGTTTTCTGATTAATACCGAATTTTGTTCCTAATAACGGGTGGCTGAATTTGTAGGAACAAAACATGATTCAACATATGAAATGAGTTCTTCTGTGCAGCTGCTAATAGTTCGAGGATTTAACATCAGTGCAGGTGTTTCGAATAAAATATGCGTAGTTGAAATCTACTTGTTGCACCTGAATCTACTTGTTCCTCGACCACACAATGATGAAGCAGCCATACAAGCGGTTTTGCATTAATGATTTGCTAGAAGATATAATAAAAATAAACTCCGGTAGAACCAGACAGGGCACTATGAAGAATTTTACCTCCTTAATATCTTGGTCGATTTTCAGCCCCGTCCGCCCCGGTGTCGCTGAGATTAACCGCAAATTCAGCGAGTAGCCTGAGCATCGCATGGGATTATCCGACAGAAATGAACGGTGAACTCAAGGATTTCATCATTCGGTGGTACCCCAACGACGAGCCCAACGACTTTATAAACACTGAACAAATTTCTTACACCATCGGGAGCTTGGCACCTTGCACCGAGTACAACGTTACCGTGGCCGCCAGGAATGCAGCAGGGGAAGGGACCCCGGCCCAAACTCATGGGGCGACTATCACTATCGGTAAAAACTAGCCATTATTCTGCATGATATATTTGGTAACTTATTTCTCCAAAAAAATTTCATCCGCATCATGCCATACAATAAAGAATCATATGTATTGTCTCACCATATAATTCGCTGCATTGCGTTTATACTAGCGCATCTTAAAACTTCTGCAAAAAGCAATAATAAATAATTAAAATGGAAAAGCCCAGGAGCACACGCCAATATGTTCACACAGAAGTATTTTCTGCGTCCAGATTAATGAATTTGTTTCTAAACCTGCCAGCTCCCGACCCCTTGGTGTGCGTCCAGAATGTTAAAGATTCGAGTCTGAAGGTAAGATGGGATGCTCCCAACCCCGTCAGCGGCTGCACCGTCGTCAAATACGATATTGCCACTACGATCGACGTGATCTGGTCTGGAGAAACATTCAACGACGACTCATCCGTGGAAGCATCGACCACTCAATACGTCGTGGAGAATCCTGTATCATATTCCAATTACACTTTTGGCGTCAGTGCTGTAGCAGCGGGTGATGTGAAGGGACCGACAGTAAACTGTAGCGTCACGACCGCACAGACCGGTGAGTTTGACATGAGCCAGTCGCTCTAAAATGATTTGCTAACTATGAATCGATTCAGATATATTTTTATTACTTATTGTCGTTTATGTCAATTAATTATATGTTAAATGCATTGCTTTAAAAATTAGCGTTCATTATATCATATGACACTGCGAAATGATTTATGCAATACATTCCAATTGTAGAAGAAATGTAAACAATCACTTCCAGCATTAGAAAGGAAACCAATGTATCGTTGAAGGCGCTCTTCACATGAAAACTTCGAATGCCCAGCTATGTCGAAGTCAGGGATGCTCATCTCGATTTCAATGTCATTACTGTATATCAGAAGGCCCCATTTTAAATTATCATCATGATAAATCATTGACCATTTAACTAAAATAACTAAAAATGAGATTCGTTCTGAATAATAATACTTTCTATGCTTATTTTAGTTCCCCCTAAATAGACAGACAACCATAAGATGATTTTTTTTCTGCGACTTCATCGATTAACCGAAATTTGTATGTAAATGATAATGACTTGTATTCAATTCATCATGATTAAATATGACCAAAATTTCTAATTCAAAAAGCAGAATAGCTGGGTCAGGCTGTTAATGCTATTTATGAAAATCTGTTCCATTCAATCTGCTCTTTTACGGTTGAAGTTGACATCATGCCATTCAGAATAATTGCCCCGTGCTATATTTGTTAATTCTGACCACAATGTAACGATGTTGATGGAAACCTTTGTTGCTGAGGCGTAAACTTTGAGAAACTTTTGTTAAAACGAAACTAATTTACTGTCATTGGATCGTGACATAGAGTTCAACATGAGATTCTACATAGTCCGGGTCTTAGTGCTTAGAACAACAAACAATATCAACGCCGGTAACGCGAAACACTTCAGTTACGTCCTCATCACGAGTTAAACGTTAGTTGGCTTTAAGCAACGTTTGTTTAACTCAGGCAGGATCTGCGCTATAGCCAAGATTTTATTTCATATCACATTTCCGAGCCCATTTTCGGTCCCTTTGCCGAAAGATATGCTAGCAAACAAATTATTCAATATGGATACACACCCATTACACACATCGAGAAAATTCATTATCCGAAAAAAAGTATTTAAATCAGAGACGGATTTTAATGACGAACAGACAGAAAAAATATTCTGTATTCGTTTGAAAACGCTTCACCTCGACCATAATGAGATTGTCACTCGCGACACGAAAAACTTCCATACCTTAATTCTGGTGAGGTTGATACGTCAAACCCTGCATTGTTTATAAGATAAACCTTACGACAAAGCTCATGGTGTTGACACAAGGAACCTTGTGGTGTCGCTACGAAATTGACGTACGATGTTAAAACGAAACCTACATTGAGTAGGTACGAAAAACTTTATGATGTTGCTTCGAAAAAACTTTCTGGTATCGATACAAAAGGGCCTATAGTATTTAAATTCATTTCAAGTTTTAGTCATCAACTTGCCCTCCAACAGCCCCGAGCGCTCCCGAAAACTTGGCGTTATTGGAGGCCCGGAGTGACGCCCTGGTCGTGCAGTGGGACGCGCCTGCGGAGCTCAACGGCGTCGTGGTCTCCTACCTCGTCAGCAGCAGTCGTGGTGGCGAGTTTGTCACCAACCAAACTCTTGCAGCTTCACCTGAACAAACGCGCTTCAACTGCACCGTTGACGGCCTAACTGCTGCCACTGACTACGACATAACCGTGAGGGTGAGTCCATCGATCATACAAACTATAACCTATCCGTGTGACTAATCATTCATTTAACCGCACCAGCAACAACATGAAAGGTACAACATTGTTCCCAATAAATCAATTCTAGGTCGCACTTTAATTATGTATAATTATTATATATAAACATCCACAACATCGATCGCCACCGATAACACTTGCAACGTTAATTTACGATTGAATTACATCATATACAATAATTTACTCGAAACACTCAACAGTGGAGGTAAATTCAACTCAATTTATCGCATACAATCTAATATTTGATTTATTACGCTTGGTAATTGTGTTGTTCTCAAAAATCTTAAGCGCTAAATGATTTGAAAATGTTCATGACAATTTCAGGCAGTGACGATTAGAACGGGAGCGGCAGCAACTTCGAGTTTCAGAACCAGCGGTGTTGGCCAAGGTTCTTCAACATCAACCACCACGACTTCAACAAAACTTCCTACCACCAAACCTACGTCCACTTCTAGGCCAACAACCATTCAGTTTTCCAGCTCCACCACCTCTACTGTCCACCCATCAACGGACGCAGCAACAACCAATCTTCTCACAACTCTGGCAAAAGACAATCCGGCCTCTCGATTGCCTACTGCAGCAATCGCTGTCATTGTGATTGTCGTGATTGCCGGAGTCTTCGTGTTTGTGTTTGCCGTAGCAATTTTAGTGAAGAATAAGCACTTCCAACGAGTCAGATCATCGTCAGTAATTTCGTTCGCAAATGAACTACAGGAAAAAACATAAATTGGAAGAACTCTCTTCTTCTGAATCATGAACAAATAGAATAGAATAAATAGAATTATGAAATTAAAAATATAATAAATATTTCAGGTAAAGACACAAATATGGAGGTACTGTTGGAATCTAGCCAAGGTTAAAATTACAATTCTGCACCGATACATCAAACTTTCAGATTTTCTTACCTGGAATTTCAGTCACTTTAAAAACCTATAATGATAGTCGTCGCGCTCACGATTTCAATTTTCATTGCGAACTTATACGCTACTACGTTGCACCGTCAAGGTAATGATTTGCATCAAGATTGGGCGGCATGGCTTTGACCGGCGAGTCTTGCGTCGGGCGTAGTTGGCCCAGACCAGTGATTATAATTATTAATTAATTGATTAATTACAGTATTTATCAAAGAACAGGTAATGCTCCTACTGGGGGAATATGCGTGCCAAGGAGACCACGACTAAAATGTTAGCATGAGCTCGTTTAAGAGTAAGTGAGGCAGCAGTAATTGCCGTCTTCAAATTCCTACATTTAATTTATTCCATGAAAATTCTTACTCCTTCGTACCATTTCATTTACTCGAAACTAAACCAATTTAAGCTGTAGAATGTATTGCGTATTTCGCTAACTTATATACGTATCTATTTGTCTGTGTTTTGTTGATTTAGTTCAAGTTGATAAGTGCTCATAAAGTGAATTTGATGCCATGTATATTTCCTAGATAATTGTAATTGAGATATTGTTACATACATCTGTGCTACGAACTTAAATGATTCACGTCCATTACTAGAATAGCTATAAGGAATAAGGAATGCCGCTTAATAGAAGAAGAAAATTTATTTTAAATGTTTTTTAAGTGCTTCTATGATAACTATTTATAATATTTAATATATGTCATATCAATATGTGACTAAATGATTCACGTAGATAGCGTCACCATGTCTTTATATCCGCAACAATTAATTGATTGATTAACAATTTATACAATGATAAATTGTTTATAAAACAATTTATCTTGTAGTTCATAAATGTTATCGTGATTTTTATGCATCAATGGTATACAATGAAATGTCATGTTAATTGTACTGCATGCTTTGCCATTTATTCTTATAATAAGTTATAAACATTTAGGACATCTTTATATTCCTCTATAATATCACCATCATCCTGAAAAAAGGGAACATTAATTTATCCGTTAAACAAACAGACAATACGAATGAACATAGCAAATAAATCATTTGCAGCCAATGCCAAGTATTGTTTCGTAGGCCCGCTACAGATCACGGGCGTTAGAGCCCGAGTAAAAAAATAAATAAAATAAACTCGGCAACTGGAACAATCAAAATACCTTAAACTGTGAACAAATTTGTATGAAATTCAGAATATTGCTGATTATCAGCAATGTGCCTCGCAAAAAATAATATCACAAATATTCAAGTCAATTCATTTTTCATTGATTTTCAGAATTTCAATTAGATCCGTTCATAATTTGAAGAATTATTATAGATTCAGTAGCTCAAATTTACGTTTTGCGTTTCAGTCAGCGGACGAGATAGCGGGTGAGTTCAGAGAAGTTTCGAGCAAAATCCGTCATTGAGGAAAGATTCATTCACTCATATTTTGTAATGGGGCTGTTGCCCCCAGAAAAGCAACATGAGCCTGAATTGTGATGGAGAATTTCCAAAATCTTCCTCGGCTGCAGTCCCAACAGCGGTGACAGGAATATACCTCATCATACGAGACATTTCATATTTATCGCATTTCATTATTGGGACATTTCACCAATATAGCAATTCACCATAGAATTTCTTCATTGCATAACGTGCGCATTGTAAACATAAGTACATGTAGGTTAGGTTAGGTTAAATTGTTAAAGGATGAAATGTCCCAATGATGAAAATAAAATGTCTCCATGATGAGGTTGCATGGAACCCTCATAGAAAAAACTTTGGGAGGTATCATCAAAAATTGAATACAATTCTCGAGAGATGACTGAAAAATTAACTAAAGTGAGCTCAACGTCTTTAATGAAATTCAGCTTTTAGCGCAGTCAAGGTAACAGCATTTACTATTAGTATGCCTCACATTCAACTCTTAAATGGCGCAGGACCTCCCGGCTCTTTCAATGTTTTGTTTGAAATTCTAAGAGTTTTAAAACTCGGTTCAGGCAGAAAAGACTGTTATCTCAATAATTGTTGGAGGCTCGTTCTCTGTTTCAAGTGGTCAACAAGATGCAACAAGCTTCAATTGACAGGAGCATTGAGAATTTAGAGAGTGATTAATATCAAATAGCTCTATAGTGGTATCCATTTTAGTTAAGAATTATACCATACTCTGTTGATTTAAATAAAAAAACGCCATCAAAGCACGGGACCGACTACTGGATATCAGTAGGGTACGAAATCAAAACATGGTACTGGGTACCGTGTACGTCTATTTCGGCAAAGCATGAAAGTAGATGCCGAGTGCCAGGCGGTTATGAAATCAAAGCATGAAACTGGATACTGTTCCATTCAAAGGCCAGAAAATCTTATCAGTAAATTTTTAAGGGAACGGACACAAATGTCAACATCAATATAATTTTAAGCACAGGTAGACCGTTTCAGAACCAATATATTCGACTTTCTGTTGAGAGGGTAGTCTCAGTAATTGTGCTCTTGTTTTCAACACCACATTTTCACATTGTCTCATCATTCACTATAACTTTCACTTTTTCACTATGTTATTATGCGAAGAAAATAGTGTATTTCCACCCTAACAATTACTTACTTCACAGTATGGCTTTAGTTCGAAATCTGAATGATATGATAAGAAATTATCTCAGCTCTATCTTATGAAGAAGCACGCCATGACGAAGAACAAAGCTGTCAAGTACGATAATCTGTTTGAAATGAAGTAATATTTATAATTTTCTCATTTTCTGCGCGAGGCAAAACAGTCAACGTCTTAATCACAAGGGGATTGATTTATCAGCCCATGCATTCAGTCTGTTCAGAGACATCGCATCGTGACCTCAGGTTAGCTCTTACTCAAGCAGAGAATGAACGTTAATGTGACGTTGCAGTAAGTGATGACGCTACAACTCTGGAAAATTATAACTGCAGATTCTGAATAAAATTCCCCTTGAAAATGTGTCCTCAAAATGTGGTGATGTAAGATATTAATACAAATTTAAGTTTTGAAAGTTGTTTGACTTACTTCATGGCAAATTCTTAAACTTTCAGAATTTGATGAAATGTTTAGTCCCATGCCTGGGTACACATATTTCATACGTTTTTTAGACTAATCAATGTACAACATTTGAGTGAGGGATATTTAGCTAATGTAAATATTTCAATGATCCGATACTCTAAGCTGTTAAAAAATGTTTTAATCAGGCAATCCCTTTACCTATGGCAGATACTGAGTTCAAACGCGAGTCCTGCATGAGCAAACCTTTTTTTATGATGGGTCATCGGCTACTGTCTTTAGCACTCCTCGGCTTATCTCTGGTATTAGTGCCACCAGTAAGTGTCAAGTCTTCCTTGTTTCTCCTGAAACATGCAGTTTGAAGTCATTTACATTTCACGATGGCATAGATCAAAGCTTCTGCTTTGATGAACAAGCATAAGCTTCTTTTGCTAAATTTTTTGCTTTGATGCATGTCATTTTTGTTTATAGAATTTTGAAGGTAAAATGGGGCAATGAGGAGACTGGATTTATAATGCTATTCTTATTACTTGGGACACATTAAAAACATCATGGTTTAATTTTAAAGTGGTAAACACATGTAAGCATTTGGCCTTCAGTTCATATGCTCAGCTATTCTTAGAAAGCGGCGAACAAAACAAAGCGGCGAACAAACAAAGTTGTTAAAAATTGAAATTGGAAGAGATATAATAAAAATGTAATTCCTAAAAGGTCTTCAATTGTAAGCCCATAGGGTTATGCAAAAATTACTATAGGATTATCTAAAGATATACAATATGCAGAAATGTAGTTTTTCTTGAGATAAGAGAACCGACATCAATCATATTTTCTTCAAAACATATATAAAGACCATAGTATTAGAATTATACAGTAATTACGATCATCAATTGTTATACTGTAACAAACTTGTATGATCATCAATTGCGTGATGTTCATACAAGCAATTTTTTACTGATATAAGTCTGATACCCAGAAAACCTCTCGTAGATAAGATATCGTTCGTTCTTCAACAGATCCATCATGCACACTTTTTAGAAGAGTTTCAATTTGAACGCCTAATTAAAAAATTATGCACAAAACATAGAATCAATTGAATTCAGCTTTTGTCTTAGGACTGCGTTCTTTAGTCATATAATGTCAATACGTTTCAGATAATTAGCTGAACAAAATTAGCTCTGATACCACGCAACACATATTGTTAAAGCGTCCTAAAATTAGGCTTCAAATAACTCACACTGAGACCATTCCTAAATTATCTACTGTAATAAATACTCTTCCGTAAATTGGATTACATTATAAATAAATAAAATTGTTCAATACAATTCAAACTCAATTTAAAAAAAAATTTACTCAATTCAAACTTTTTTCATCAATGACAATGGAAAATTGAAAATAAAATATTCTGCATATATCATAAGCAACTTTTGAGGAGGTAATGATAGTCTTTAACTAGTGAAAAATTCTGAAAACTAACTAAAAATACTTTTTGCTGCAATAATTCAACACCTGACTAGTGTGGTTACATTATTCCTATACTATACTTTTAGACAGCAGTATATACGATCTTTCTAACTATACGTGACAGTAAGAACGTGATGCGTGCAAAACACAAAATTTCCCTAATCGAAGTTACTGTATATTCACTGTTTTTTCGGAGTTTATGACTTACAAAAAATTTTAGAACTTGGTTGTGCTCTATAATTATTTTTCTGTTGATTACAGATCGTGGTCGCCAAAAATCAGGGTGAGTGTTCTTCCATCAGTCATTAGTTTATTTGGATATTTTAATGCACATAAATTTAAAATAGTGATGAAGTTTTTATCACGAGTATAAAATGAAGATTTATCCCTAAATAATAGTTTTCTAATAGGGTTATCATATTGCCAGCAAAGTGAATTTTGAAATGAAACAATTTTATTTACGGTATTGGGAGTACAGATTTTAGAGATTTTTTTCAAACTTTTAATTCAATTCAAAAGATTTTTCAAACTTTTAATTTAGATAAACTAATAGATATGACAAATAAGGTTGATCAATGCTTGTCCGATCCTTGTCTCCCTTCACAAAGCTTCTCGCTTGAAAACTTCTCCAAAGTCCAAAGGGTCGGTGAACTTTGACATGTTCATGTGAACAACACAAGATCGATGGAATCCGTCATATTCGTGTGTCCTCCACAGGGTTGATGGACCTCGACATTTTCATGAGAACAGCAAAAAATTTTCACATTAAAAAGTTGAAGCCGCTAGTTCAGAAGCATGCCTCAAGAAATATTTCGGATGAAAAATGAACACGCCAGGCTGGTAATTAGTGAAAACAAATTGAATAAATTATATTAGTTTGAATTAGGCTTAGCTTCTGTAGAAACAACCGCCCTATTGTATATATTGTATCACTTGACAATCAGAATTGTTTACAGTTATTGATGTTCAGCATGTCCTCTACTCAACAACTTCCAGACTACGTAAGAAAGAAGTCTTTATTAAATGCTTCTTTAGTCTGTCTACACGTACACTCATTCGAGACCGAAGTTCAGTATGGATTTTTTTGATGAGAATCAAACATTTCTGATCATGGAATGACCAATTGTGGAAGTTTTTACATCTTTCTAAGCGCCGCAAAACATTTGCCTCAATCAGAATTGATTTTCTTAATAATGACAGTTCTGTTTTCCCAGTTATATGCATTTCCCAACCGACAATCTTTGTGTAAACTTGGTTCTGGAAAAGTTCATTGAGTTCTGCATTGACATTATAGGAACAGTGGTTTTGAGATTGTCCCAAACAATTTGATTTAGAATCCAACTCTCTTTTAGACAACTTTGGGATATTAGACATGGTCTTCGCTGGAGGTGTTTTTCATTCTAACTCAGGTGGATGGGGAGGCAGTAGTAGCATTTTAGTTAGTACCTCTCCCAATACTCCCAATACAATCGGAACCGTTTCAGTAAATGAATTTAAAAATAATACTCAACGACCCAAGTCGTTAGACCTTTGATCGTGTGGCAAACTAACTAATTATTTAACGACAGAATGGAAAAAAAGTAATAATGAATACAGCAGTAAGAAACTATATTTGGATCAAAACAATATATTTCGCCACGTTCCCTAACAGGCTAACACCATAGATTTCTGGCTGTTATGCCAGCCCCTACCGTACGAGCACCAATCTCCTCAGGACGTATCCTGTTCACAAGAAGAGGACTTGAGCCTAGAGGTGCACTGGACTACGCCATCAACGACTTGTGAAATTTCGCAGTATAGCGTAAACTATACAGCCGCGGTCATCTGGTCCGAGGAAATCTACAAGAACTACTCTCTCGTCGACGCGGCGACGTCGGAATACGTCATTCAGCGGCCAATCCCGTACACTTTTTACATCTTCGAAGTGAGGGCCGTTGTGAAAGGCTGTGGTTCTGGTGAACCTCGTTCGTGTCCAGTGAAAACAAAAGGAGAGCGTGAGTACGGATACTGTAGGCAGAACCGTCAATGATGGTAAACATCTGTAAAGTATTTACCATGACGTATAATCGATAAACATGAATATCATACCCATGAATGGACATTTTCTCATTAATACTGAAGTGGTTCTTAATAATTGGTGGCTGAATTTGTAGGAACAAAAATAAAATGATTTACTATTAATAAGTTATTTTTTGCTGCTGTTAATTTTTTGTTAATTTAAAAAAAAATTATTCAAAAAAATAAGTTATTTTTTGCTGCTGTTAATTTTTCAAGCTTGGAAATCTTAGTTGTTAAAGAAATATTAGTTAATTGTTCAAGCCTAGTTGGAATTATGCTCAGTTGGAAAGCTACTTGTTGAAGCTGAATCTACTTGTTCCTCGTTCGCACAAAGATGCAATGAAGCAGCCATACCTGCAGTTTGGCAATATTGCTTTGCTAGAAGATATGGGAATAAACTCCGATAGAACGAGATAAGGCACTATAAAGAATTTTAGCCCTTTAATATCTTGGTCAATATTCAGCCCCGTCCGCCCCGGTGTCGCTGAGAGTGACGGCAAATACAGCGAAGAGCCTCAGCATCGCATGGGATTGCCCGTTGGAAATGAGCGGTGAATTCAAGGATTTCATCATTCGGTGGTATCCCAACGACGAGCCCAATGGTTTTATTACCACTGACCAAACTTCTTACACCATCGGGAGCTTGACGCCCTGCACCGAGTACAACGTTACCGTGGCTGCCAGGAATAACGCAGGGGAAGGGACCCCGGCCCAAACTCATGGGGCGACTATCACTATAGGTGAAAAGTAGCCATTATTTTACATGATATATTTAGTAACTTATTTCTCCAAAAAATTTCGTGCCGCAACATGCCATACCATAAATAATCAAACGTATTATCTCTACCCATATTGTATAATTCGCAGCATTGAATTTATATTAGCGCGCAACTGGAGAAAAATAAATAAAAAAAGCCTAGGAACACGCAACAATATGTCTACACACCACTGTTTTTCTGCGTTCACGTTCATGAATTTGTTTGTAAACCTGCCAGCTCCCGACCACTTGGTGTGCGTCCAGAATGCTGAAGACTTGAGTCTGAAGGTAAGGTGGGATGCTCCCAACCCCGACAGCGGCTGCACCGTCGTCAAATACGATATTGCCACCACGATCGACGTGATCTGGTCTGGAGAAACATTCAACAACGACTCATCCGTGGAAGCATCGACGACTCAATACGTCGTGGAGAATCCTGTATCATACTCCAATTACACTTTTGGCGTCAGTGCTGTAGCAGCGGGTGATGTGAAGGGACCGACAGTAAACTGTGGCGTCACGACCGCACAGACCGGTGAGTTTAACTCGCTCCGTGGCCGGGAAATGCCTATGAAATTGTAAATAACACAAACACAATTTTTCTTTGCCCAATCTTTAATTTTTAACCAGCACATATGAAGCGGATAAAGTAAAAATTTTTCGTCCATCATTGTTCAAATATTGAAAATGAAAGCCCTATACTTCCGCATTAGGTACAGTGCTCATAAATTCACATGTTCACTAAGGCCAGTAATATGAAAACAGCCATTTGTCTACTTCAACGTGTTTCATAAACCTTGCAAAGATGTAAGTATTGCGATACACTTCAAAATTGCTACGCCTTGAACGGATTCATTGTTTTCTAATAAAGATTTGAATTTGGTATTAAATTAATAACTGGATCTACGAGCTGTGCCACGTACAACAAAGACATCAGCGATAATGCTAAGTGTATTGATGTAACGGACCGCGATACATCCGATCTCAGAACATAAATTGATTCTGATATAATTCTGTCCGGGTAAACGAAGAACAAAATAAGATGAAATGGCTAGTAACTGGCCACAAATTTTTATACAATTTCTGCAACTCTGTATTAAGACAAACCTAGTGGTGCTTTTACGAAAAAGCCCATGGTGTTGATTCGAAGAACTTTGTGGTGTCGATACGAAAACGACGTAGTGTTAGAACGAAACCTGCATTGGGTTAGGTACGAAAAACCATTTGATGTTGCTTCGAAAAACCTCATGGTGTTGCTTAGAAAAAAAACTTTCCGGTGTTGATAAAGAGAAGCCCTATAGCATTCGAATGAATTTCAAGTTTTAGTCATCAGCTTGCTCTCCAACAGCTCCGAGCGCTCCTCAGAACTTGGCGTTATTGGAGGCCCGGAGTGACGCCCTCGTCGTGCAGTGGGACGCGCCTGCGGAGCTCAACGGCGTCGTGGTCTCCTACCTCGTCAGCAGCAGTCACGGTGGCGAGGTTGTCACCAACCAAACTCTTGCAGCTCCACCTGAACAAACGCGCTTCAACTGCACCGTTGACGGCCTAACTGCTGCCACCGACTACGACATAAGCGTGCGGGTGAGTCCACCTATATTACTAGAAGCACCACTCCGTTACGAGTATACTACTGCGAACATAAATTGAAGTATCGAAATAATTGTGAACAGCTCACGCAGACAATTTTAAATGATGTAAAGGGTTCATTAGTCACGAATACAAATTGTACAGGTGGAAACACAAGGCGATTAAGTGTAAAATTTGCTCAAGTAGAATAAATTCAAAACGCTATTGTCAATTTCAGGCAGTGACGGTAAAGATTGGAGCCGCAGCAACCTCCAGTTATAGAACCAGTACTTCAGGCCAAGGTCAACCAACAACTGCTGCTTTTGCAACAAGCACTCCAGACCAAGGTCTACAAACAACTGCTGGTCAAGCAACCAGTACGCCAGATCAAGGTCAACAAACAACTGCTGGTATTGCAACCAGTACTCCAGTCCTAAGTCAACCAACAACTGCTGCTTTTGCTACAAGCACTCCAGAACAAGGTCAACAAACAACTGCTGGTCAAGCAACCAGTACGCCAGATCAAGGTCAACAAACAACAGCTAGTCTTGCAACCATTACTTCAGAACAAGGTCAACAAACAACTACTGGTCAAGCAACCAGTACTTCAGGTCAAGGTCAACAAACGACCAACATTTTTGGAACAAGCCAAGGTCTAACAACAGTCCCTGAAGTTTCGACAGTTTATTCGTCTACTAAAATTTCGTCGAGCAAACTTCCATCCACTTCCAAGTATACAACCATGGAGCCTGTGACCACCAGACCTTTTACTCTCGATCTATCAACGGATACATTGACCACAACTCATGAACAAGACTTTTCTGACCCTCGGTTATCTGCTGGTGTAATCGCAGGAATTGTCATGGCCGTTATTGCTGGGATAACGTTGACTGTTTTTGCAGTTGTAACCTTGGTCAGGAAAAAGATCTTCCACTTTCTAGAATGAATTAGGCATGATGGTTCACTTAAGTGGATCAACGGATTGTTAAATAACGAGAAAAATTTTTTGGCTTCTTGCCTCTAGTGGGTCTGCGCGATGTAAATATACCTCACTTTGGTGAGTCGCTGTCGAGTGAGTCAGCAATTACTCCCACAAATGAGTCTCGGAAAAATAGAGATAATTCAGGAAAATGTCTGTCAAAAAGTGAATGTATTGTTTTGCACTAGCCGTAGACTTATACTTTGACTAGCATGCAATTATGACCCGTTCAATTTTACGAGTGTTGAAAGATTCCGAGAACCGTTGGTGGTATGGTTCGGGTTCCACAACCATGGTGGGGGGATTTACGTAACTCCCTACTCGTGTCTACATTAAAATATCAGTTTATTTTCTAGAATGTATAAGTATATCTTCCAAATTCGTCAGTAAATATCACATGAGACTAGTGCTCAAAGATCTCACCACCGTACGTCTTTTACACAAGAATGAACTATAAAATGTCGACAGGTAATGTTACTTTCTGTGATAGCTCAAATTGCAGCTCGATTGTGTCGAAAGACTGCACACGATATGTCATAAAATAACTGATTATTGATTGTCTTCTTTAATTTGGAAATTGAATTTAAATTATAATATTGTTACTCACTATGCACAATTTCACAATATCTCATTTAATGTGAATAATTTTAGGTATTTGTGTTAATGATTCAGCCTTTCGAATTCTGTTCAATTTACTAGCAGCAATATGCAGGCATTACGTCTTAATTACTGCCTGTGTACACGACTTCGGACTTTCTACGATTTTTAATTTCGCATAACTTCTAGCTGTGCGGAATTCCAGCTACACAACCCATTCAATGGATTGTGTAGCTGGATATGATTCCGTTCTCTCCTTGTTAGCTTTCCAGTGCACCCGCCCTTACTTGAGTTTTATAGCTTCTGTGTTGAGCGGAGTTGACTCCCGTGCAGCTAAGATTAAAGGAAAAATTGAATGATCCTGGTAAATATTGAAATTTCTTTCACTAAACTGATATTGATTGACCATGCATTACTGTTACTATTTATTTTTATGCATACAGTTTAAACATATCAATCTTTATCGGCGTATGCAAAGCAACTACCTAAGGTATCAATCACATTAGGTAGAAAGGTTTCTAAATTGTTATTTGAGAACAAAATTCATGTTAGTTGCAATGTTTATTTTTACGGGCTAGAAGTAAATTCATCGTAATGTATTAAAAGATAACCTCAGGCCTTACACACCGTCAAATTGTTTCAATGACGTTAATTTGGAACTTCAATTTTAACCGACATTCCTGGCGGCGATATTAAGAAAATTGAGCGTTTTGCAGTTGTCAATGATTACAGGGAACCCATTCAACCCATATAGCTCAGGAAATTTAAAAATAAGTAATTGATCAATGATCATGGCTGCTGATAAGCATTCTCCGATTACCTGAATGATTTTGCAAGCGATTGTCAGCTTGACAATCTGAAAGTAATGCTGAGAATATAGCACGATTTTCATGTTCAAGATGAGGTTGGCCCCTCTTACTGATACAAAAACGGAGATAAATACCCAGTAATGTCAGCGTCACAATTAAAATAAAATCTTAATTTGCGATTCTTAATTAATCTATTCATTGTTTCTTCTCAAAATGAACGACGAAACATCTAAACAAATCAATACTAACATAAAATTTTACATTAACTTTGTGCTTCTCAGGGTAAGAATTAGATACACACTAGTTCTTTATTTGGTTGACACTACTGAACGTAATAATTCTGAATACTTTTTAATACATGAGTGATCATTTATTTGGTGTTTTATTTCTACTTTAACCAATGAAATTCTAATAAAAATCTTAATCATTTCATCCAGACGATTGAAAAATTACTCTCTCAATACCTGAAGTTTTTTTCTCGGAAGATCCGGTTCATTGAATAATTTTTTTCCATAATAGCACTTAATGATGATTCTTCAATGTTTAATGCCTCTAATTTTCCTTCTAATAAGAATGGACTTCGAACGAGTTCAAATTTCAAACGAATAAAAAATTTACAAACTGCCTAGATTTGGCTGAAGATCTATCATATGAAATGATTGGGCAGTTCACCGACTTGGTAAAGTTCTGTTCAGAAAACTGATCTGCAAAGTGGTATATTGAATATTATTTGTTATTGTATCAATTGCTAAATTGTCTCTTATGTTACGATTATGCAATTGATGTTACGATTTATGTCATGTTACGATTTAGAAATACTAAGACAAGGGTTTTGAAATTTGGAAACTGGAAAACTGAGTAAAGAAGTATTTCGGGATTAAAAATTATACAAACTATATTTTTAGAACTGTTACGTGATTTTATCAATCAAAACTATAATTTTAAAATGACACTGGTAATATAATACTAATATTTTGTGAATTATTATACGATTCCTTATAAAACATCAACTGCAGGCAGGTCTGACAACAGGACTGCTTATCAAGTCCCATGTCACCTTATAACAAATTTGTTGACGCTTAATTAGAGTCATTTTATTGTAGCGCAAACTTGTGTCATTTCTTCGCAGATTACGTTTTCGATCGCAGCGGCCGTGAAATCATGGTATAGGCGTCGTGAAAGATGCGTACGGCTGCAGGGAGATTGATTCGGAAAGTGACACAAGTTTAATTGATTTTTGGTGGTTAGCGAGAGAAAAACATCGGAGGCTTTAGGCCACTCGTGACAACAATCGTGATTCTCGTCGTTGGTGCTCGTTCTAAGCCTTAGCACCCTCCCACCCATTTGAAGTTGCAGCCTTCTAACAGTGACTGCGTGTCACTACGAAGTGTAACAATTATACCATTCATACATCTGTCTCTAACATCTTTTGTATATACGAGTGTTCAACACCACATACCGGTGTGCTCGCTCCCAACTCCTTACCTCACCCTTATATGGGCGCTTCTCGCTCATGGGGAAAAGCGCTACTCGATCATGCCTCCTCATCCAGGGGCGCTTCTGCTTCGAAGCTGATTGCCGGACTGGTCCCGTAGAGTTAGAGGCATAACCCTCATCATCTTCATCACGACCAAGAAAACTGACATCTCACCCGTCCAAGACTCCCCATTCCTCCAATTGAATTAAAGGTAAACCTCGAATGCCGGTCGATTTCGAAGTATTTTGATGCCAGAAAGAGGTTGAAGGTTGAAAAATAATGAGCGCACCTAATATAAAGTCTGGTGCCCTACGACTGGAAAATTGACTGCGAGTTCGATCCCCCAGCGAAATATAAAAATTTTGGTTGAAATCGGTAAATTGGCCGGATGATTGAGAACAAGATGGTACCCAAAATCCCTTTAAAATTTTGTTAATTCATTCCAGATTTGGCCGAATCAGGGAACTTTTTAATCTTGTGATGATTTTCTAAAATATTGAGAAGATAAAAGATACTAATTGTTAATTAAAATGGCTGCAAGGAGCTCTAAACCACTCAACCCGACTTTAAATGATTGTATTAATTGCTTCGTCAGTGTCAGATGTCGTAGAAAGGCTGTGTTGGGTATTGTTGCTTTTCTTCACTATTTATGAGAAGAGTGGCCCAAAGCCATACGGTAAAGGATTAATTTAATTAATTAATTTTCAATGTTTTATCACGAAATTGCATTGATTAAGTAAATTACACATTTATTCTCTGTTTCAGACGTATTAATGGTTAGCAAAGCTGTAATGTATGAAGTTACGCGCGTGAAAGGTGGGAAGAACACGGCAGCACGGAACAGGCTTTATTGGAACCAACATAATGAACGTGAAACAGGAACGAAGGCGTACGGAGCACGACTTCTAAAACGTGCTTCTTCTTAGCGGCTAGATATTAAGAATACAGGAAACGTTATATGCTACAAAAGCCATTAACCGTTAATCGTTGATTAACTACATTCAACTTGTATCTTCATGGTAATTCCATGAAACTCAGACCTCTATTTTCAACAAGGCTTCAGCACACTCGGCTTCATCGTCAGGTTCAGTTGAGTTTGAGCTGGGAACTACCCTCACATCGCCGCTGGTTGTCGCCAAACTATTGCTCCCTGGAAAATTGTTTCACTTCATCAACACTGGCCCTTTCCAGGCCGAGAAGCGCTGCCACAATATTGCGCTGCTGTGGACATTCCTGCGCTGTTGATCACCCTGGCGTTGCGCTGGGGCGAGCGTTGGCGCAGGCAAGTTCACCCGCGGCTGGCTTCCAGACTGCGGCGATTTCTGACTGGGTAGTTCAGAAGTATGCCTCAAGAAATATTTCGGGTGAAAAAAGAACACGTCAGGCTATAAGGCTATAAATTAGTGAAAACATATTGCAGAAATTATTTTAGTTTGAACTAGGCTTAGCTTCTGTTGAAAAATAAACGCCCTATTGTAAACGGTACCACTTGACATTCAGAATTGATAACAGTTATTGATCTTCAGCCCTTCCTCTACTCAACTAACTTCCAGACTATGTAAAAAAGTCTTTATTAAATGCTTCTTTAGTCTGTCTACACGTACACTCATTCGAGACCGAAGTTCAGTATGGAATTTTTTGATGATAATCAAACATTTCTGATCATGGAATGACCAATTGTGGAAGTTTTTACATCTTTCTAAGCGCCGCAAAACATTTGCCTCTATTAGAATGGATTTTCTTAATTATGGCCGTTCTGATTTCCCAGTTATATGCGCTTCCTAACCGACAATCTTTGTGTGAACTTGTTTCTGGAAAAGTTCATTGAGCTCTGCATTGCCATTATAGGAACAGTGGTTTTGAGATCGTCCCAAACAATTTGATTTAGAATCCAACTTTCTTTTAGGCAACTTTGAGATGCTAGACATAGTCTTTGCTGAAGGTGTTTTTCCTTCTAACTCAGGTGGAGGGGGGGGCAGTAGTAGCATTTTAGTCAGTACCTCTCCCAATACTCCCAATACAAAACGGAACCGTTTCAATAAATGAATTTGAAAATAATACTCAACGACCCAAGTTGTTAGACCTTTGATCGTGTGGCAAACTAACTAATTATTAAACGACAGCATGGAAAAAACTAATAATGAACTCAACAGTAAGAAACCATATTTTGATCAAAATAATATATCTCGCAACGTTCCCTAATAACACTAAAGATTTCTGGCTGTTATATCAGCACCTACCGTACGAGCACCAAAAATTTTTGCCTCAATCGTTTGCTTGGTCTGCCGATGTTGGGATTGCGAAAATTGTTTCAAACACGTAAATATAATTTCTAACCACCAGCGACTTCATTTGCATAAATAATAGAGCATTGAGAATTTTGTCACTTTGTAAGATGTTCAAATATTATATGCTGCAGATATATGTATATAATTCTAAAACTCTGTTGAGCCTACTTAAATTAGCTGGCCATAAATATTAACCTTACTTTTGAAAGATATAGTGGTCAACCTGCAGCTCGTGCCGCGAAGATGATAGAACACACGTGGCCTGGGAAATGAAAAATTCCACCAATGCCGTAACCAAATTCTTGGTCACGTGGCACTCGGACGAACAACCCGACCAATCATGCCTGGTTGATGCCCCCGCCACCGAAACCTCTTCATGCGATGGGTTCTCCCTAAGAAGCTGCGCTGCGGTCACCGTCGCGGTGCAGCCTCTGAGAGCAGACGGGTCTAGTATCGGCCCGGAGGCTTCTGATGTTTTGTGTCCAGGTCTTGCAGGTGCGAAGAAATGTCGTGGTTACCCTGAATATTTATTGCATATTAAACTTGTGATCAATGCCAATGCACGGCGTGATGTAACCCCTAGAATGGACTTTTGACTTTTTTTCTGTATCAATCTAGTGACCGTTTCTAGTAGCCTTCTATCGGGAGAAAAACTGCAATTCTATATAAATTAAGTATTTAGAATCATTTCAATGTTAGTTTTGATAATAAATAGATAAATTTATGATATTTTCGTTGCAGAATTCGCAAAGTCTATAGGAAGTACGTTTGCAGCTTTACATTAAACATTGTCTATCTTTGTGAACAGCTCCTCAGGACGTATCCTGTTCACAAGAAGATGACTTGAGCCTCAAGGTGCACTGGACTGCGCCATCAACGACTTGTGAAATTTCGCAGTATAGCGTAAACTATACAGCCGCTGTCATCTCGACCGAGGAAGTTTACAAGAACAACACCTTCGTCGACGCGGCGACGTCAGAATATGTACTTCAACGGCGAATCCCATACACGTTTTACATCTTCGAAGTGAGGGCCGTTGTGGCAGGCTGTGGTCCTGGTGAACCTCATTCGTGTCCAGTAAAAACAAAAGAGGAGCGTGAGTACAGCTACAATAGCCAACACAATCATTTATGGCAAATATCTGTCTAGTATTTACCGTGACGGGTAATCGATAAACATGAACATCATACCCATGAATGGACATTTCTCATTAATACTCATGTTGTCCCTAATAATTGGTGGCTGAATTTGTAGGAACAAAAATTAAATGATTCGCTAATAGAAATGAGTTATTTTTTGCTGCTGTTAATTTCTTAAGATTGGAAATCTTAGTTGTTAAAGTAATATTAGTTAATTGTTCAAGCCTAGTTGTACGTATGCTTAGTTGGAAAGCTACTTGTTGCATCTGAATCTACTTGTTCCTCGTTCGCACAATGATGCAATGAAGTAGCCATACCTGTAGTTTTGCAATATTGCTTTGCTGGAAGATATCATGGGAATAAACTCCGATAGAACCAGATATGGCACTATAAAGAATTTTAGCTCTTTAATATCTTGGTCAATATTCAGCCCCGTCCGCCCCAGTGTCGCTGAGAGTGACAGCAAATACAGCGAAGAGCCTGAGCATCGCATGGGATTGCCCGTTGCAAATGAACGGCGAATTCAAGGATTTCATCATTCGGTGGTACCCCAACGACGAACCCAACGACTTTATAAGCACTGAACAAATTTCTTACACCATCGGGAGCTTGACGCCTTGCACCGAGTACAACGTTACCGTGGCTGCCAGGAATGCAGCAGGGGAAGGAACCCCGGCCCAAACTCATGGGGCGACTATCACTATCGGTAAAAACTAGCCATTATTTTGCATGATACATTTAGGGGGAGCGCCTGGGGCAAAACTCGAAAATTTCGACTTATTGCGTTTTTTATATCAAATTAAAGCTCAGAAAAATGCGCGTCTAGTTGTATCTGAACCATGTGTGTGCGTAGTTTCCATCGCTCGCTAGAGCTCAGAGAGCGAGTGCATTGTGGGAAGGTTCAGTGCCGTTTGGTCAGTCGTCGTGAGTGGTGTTGGTGATTTCGCTGTGCTGCCGTGCTACGAGTCACTGGCAGTGATGACACCCTCGTTTTTACGAGTAATAAGCTTAGTAACGGTTAATTACAAAGCTGGAGATCCAGCGCCTTGCAAGCAATGGACCCTAAAGTAAATATGATACCGATGTTTGGTTTTTTGGATCTCCTGAAAACTTGACTTTTTCGGACCAAAAATCTATCTCCTCCTATGATTTTCAAGCTACAGCATTGAAAGATATACAATTCGATTCGTCTTTTCGTGCTCTATCGATTAAGTGGACAGATTTTTGAATTTCGAATTAGTTCGGATTATATATGCAAAAAAAAAGCGGGGGGGGTGGGGTAAAACGCTAAATTTTCAGAAAAACCCCCATAACTCCCGAACAAATTCGAAATAAGAAACTGCCCACTTATTAGATAGAGAATAAAAAGACGAATCGAATGATATGTGTCTCGATGTTGTAGCTTGAAAATCCTAGAAGGAGATAGATTTATAAAAGACCCCCTCTTTTTCTCGTTTTCTATGAATTTCACGTTTTCTTTCATTTTTTTTTTAAATTTACATGAACAAAAAAGTAATCATTTTCGATTTTACATATGTGTACCAAATTTCGAATCGATCCGTCCGTAAATAACCGAGATAGATTTTGCCCCAGACGCTCCCCTTAGTAACTTATTTCTCAAAAAAGAATTTCGTGCGTCATCATGCCCGAATATGAATAATCAACTATTTTCTTCCATCACATTGCATAATTCGCTGCATTGACTTTGTGCTAACGCAACTTTAAACTTAAAAAAACAGTAATTATATATAGGTAAATAAAATAGACAAACCTAGGAGCATGCGCCAATATGTCCACACTCAACTTTTTTTCTGCGCCGTCATCCATGAATTTGTTTCTAAACCTGCCAGCTCCCGACCACTTGGTGTGCGTACAGAATGCTGAAGACTTGAGTCTGGAGGTAAGATGGGATGCTCCCAACCCTGACAGCGGCTGCACCGTCGTCAAATACGATGTTGCCACCACGATCGACGTGATCTGGTCTGGAGAAACATTCAACAACGACTCATCCTTGGAAGCATCGACGACTCAATACGTCGTGGAGAATCCTGTATCATACTCCAATTACACTTTTGGCGTCAGTGCTGTAGCAGCGGGTGATGTGAAGGGACCGACAGTAAACTGTGGCGTCACGACCGCACAGACCGGTGAGTTTAACTTGCTCCGTGGCCGGAAAATACATACACAAACCAGCACATCCATAACTGTTCAAATATAGAAAATGAAAGCCATATACTTCAGCATTAGGTACAGTGCTCATAAATTCACATGTTCACTAAGGCCAGTAATATGAAAACAGCCATTTGTCTACTTCAACGTGTTTTATAAACCCTGCAACGATGCAAGTATTGCGATACACTTCAAAATTGCCACGCCTGGAACGGATTCATTGTTTTCATATAAATATTTAAATTCGTTATTAAATTAATAACTGGAAGTGCGAGCTGTGCCACATACAACAAAAACATCAGCGATAGTGCTAAGTGTATTGATGTAACGGACCGCGAATACATCCGGCCTCAGAACATAAATTGATTCTGATATATTTCTGTCCGGGTAAACGGAGAACAAAATAAGATGAAATGACTAGTAACTGGCCAAAAATTTGTATACAATTTCTGCAACTCTGTAGAAGCCGAGCGAAGTATGGGGCTGCGTTTCAGAAGATCGCAATTTCATATAATATAAAATTAGGATCATGGTGAAGACTTCAAATTTCACTACTTGCATCTGAATTTATTGCAAAAATCTCATAAATTGCTTCAGAATTGTCCCGTGTGTTAACCAAATATTTGATTCTTTAATTCCGAATGCTTGATATACGTTATCTGACACGCTACCTGTGAGGACCTTCTACTCCGACAGCTCCGAGCGCTCCCCAAAACTTGGCGTTATTGGAGGCCCGGAGTGACGCCCTGGTCGTGCAGTGGGATGCGCCTGCGGACCTCAACGGCGTCGTGGTCTCCTACCTCGTCAGCAGCAGTCACGGTGGTGAGGTTGTTACCAACCAAACTCTTGCAGCTCCACCTGAACAAATGCGCTTCACCTGCACCGTTGGCGGCCTAACTGCTGCTACTGACTACGACATAACCGTGCGGGTGAGTCCACTTACATATATTACTAGAAGCACCAATCCGTTACGAGTATACTGCTGCGAACATAAATTGAAGTATCATAATAATTGTGGACAGCTCACGCAGTTAATTTTAAATGATGTAAATGGTTCATTAGTCACGGATACAAATTTTACAGGAGGAAACACAAGGCGAAGTGTAAAGTTTGCTCCAAGTAGAATAAATTCAAAACGCTATTGTCAATTTCAGGCAGCGACGGTAAAGATTGGACCCGCAGCAACCTGCAGTTATAGAACCAGTACTTCAGGCCAAGGTCAACAAACAACTCCTGGTATTGCAACCAGTTCTCCAGTCCAAAGTCAACCAACAACTGCTGCTTTTGCAACAAGCACTCCAGACCAAGGTCAACAAACAACTGCTGGTCAAGCAACCAGTACGGCAGATCAAGGTCAACTAACAACTGCTAGTCTTGCAACCATTACTTCAGAACAAGGTCAACAAACGACCAACATTTCTGGAACAAGCCAAGGTCTAACAACAGTCCCTGAAGTTTCGACAGTTTATTCGTCTACTAAAATTTCGTCGAGCAAACTTCCATCCACTTCCAAGTACACAACCATGGAGCCTGTGACCACCAGACCTACTCTCGATCCATCAACGGATGCATTGACCACAACTCATGAACAAGACTTCTCTGACCCTCGCTTATCTGCTGGTGTAATCGCAGCAATTGTCATGGCCGTTATTGCTGGGATAGCGTTGATTGTTTTTGCAGTTGTAACCTTTGTCAGGAAAAAGACCTTCCACTTTCTAGAATGAATTAGGCATGATGGTTCACTTAAGTGGATCAACGGATTGTTAAATAACGAGGAGAGTTTTTTGGCTTTTTGCCTCTAGTGGGTCTGCGCGATGTAAATATACCTCACTTTGGTGAGTTACGGTCAAGTGAGTCAGCAATTACTCCCACAAATGAGTCTCGGAAAAATAGAGATAATTCAGGAAAATGTGTGTCAAAAAGTGAATGTATTGTTTTGTACTAGCCGTAGACTTACTTTGACTAGCAGGCAAATATGACCCAGTCAATTTCACGAGTGTTGAAAGATTCCGAGAACCGTTGGTGGTATGGTGCCACAACCACGGTGGGGGAATATACGTAACTTCCTACTCGTGTCTACATTAAAATATCAGTTTATTTTCTAGAATGTAAGTATTTCTCCCAAATTCGTCAGTAAACATCACATGAGACTAGTGCTCCAAGATCTCATCACCGTACGTTTTTTACACAAGAATGAACTAAATGTCGACATGTAGTGTGTTACTTGCTGTGATTGCTCAAATTGTAGCTCGATTGTGTCGAAAAACTGCATACGATAAGTCATAAAATAACTGATAACTGATTGTCTTTTTTTAATTTGGAAATTGAATTTGAATTATAATATTGTTACTCACTGTGTACAATTTCACAATATCTCATTTAATGTGAATAATTTTAGGTATTTGTGTTTTTGATTCAGCCTTTCGAATTCTGTTCACTTTACTAGCAGCAATATGCAGGCATTACGTCTTAATTACTGCCTTTGTACGCGACTTCGGACTTTCCACAAATTTTAATTTCGCATAACTTCTAGCTGTGCGGAATTCCAGCTGCACAATCCATTAAACAGATTGTGTAGCTGGATATGATTCCGTTCTCTCCTTGTTAGCTTTTCTCAGCACCAGCCTTGACTTGAGTTTTAGAGCTTCTGTGTTGAGCCGAGTTGACTCCCTATTGTAACTAAGATTAAAGGAAAAATTTAATTATCCTGGTAAATAATAAGATTTATAACACAAAACTGATATTGATTGACCATTACTGTCATTATTCATCTTCACGCATACAGTGTGAACGTGCAAATCTTTCATCGGCATATGCGAAAGCAACTACAGTCCGACGCAAAAGGTTAGCCCCACCCCTTTAAGACATCATAACATATTGAGTTTTGCCAGCATTAACATATAAATGGTGTCTAACGATTTGTCTTGCGCTCTGCAATCTATAGCAGGTGAAATTTGGTGAAAGAGTTAATTACTGGCGGAAAAATCAAGCGGTCCGTGTTTTTGCACCGGCGCAAAAGGTTGGCCCCACTTCGCAAGTTTGGCGCTCTTGCGGACAGGACGCAGCGTAGACTTGCTGCAAAGGGTGCGTTCATAGCGTAGTAGTTGTGCACGGATCTTATACTCACCTAGGCAAGAAATGGGCGCAGGAAAGCCTCTAACTGAGTTTCAGAAAGTCCTCGCGTCCTCCGGCATCTTCCAATACGTGAAGATGAACAAGGCCCCCAAATTGACCGAGGCTCACAAGCATGATAGGGTCGCCTGGGCCACAAAGTATGCAAGTACTAGTGATGGCACCTGTGCCAAAACCATCTTCTCTGATGACAAGAAATGGAATTTGGATGGCCCAGATGGTCTGAAGTACTACTGGCATTGCCGCAGGAATGAGCCAAAGGCAGCTTTTAGCCGCCAAAATGGCGGGGGAAGTGTAATGGTGTGGGGGCCCTTTTATGCAAACGTGACGAGCGAGCTCGTCTTCCTCGAAGGGCAAACAGTGCGCGGACTACTATGTCCAAACGCGCGAGGACCATTTACTTCCCGTCATCCGCCACCAAATTCGCCGCAGCGCCATCTTCCAACAAGATAATGCTTCAATCCATACGGCGCGCACGACCAAGGCCTTCTTCAAGCGTGCCAAAATCCGGGTTATGGACTGGCCAGCCAAGTCCCCCGATCTGAATCCCATTGAGAACGTCTGGGGGTACATGGCTGGGATCGTCTACGCCTGCGGGAAGCAGTATGACACGAAGGAAGAACTCGAGTTGGCCATTCCAGCCGCCTGGTCCAATCTGGACCCCAACTACCTCCGTAGATTGTCTCAGGGCATGAAAAAGCGGTGCTTGGATGTCTACAAAGCCAACGGGGTGCATATCGGTAAATAAACTTTAGTTTTGCAGCTGACGTATGTTTTGTTTTGCCTAAAATTTCAAAGTGTACAAAGTGGGGCTAACCCTTTGCGTCGGTGCAAAAACATGCGTTTTTCATTTTCTCCGTGACTAATTACATTTTCACTGTAGTCTATTGTATTTTGATTACCGAGACCAAGACGATTCGTTTGCCACCATTTGCACAATAAAAATCGCAAAACTCGATGTGTTATGATCTTTTAAAGGGGTGAGGCTAACCTTTTGCGTCGGGCTGTACCTTCACATCAGGTAGAAAGGTTTCTAAATTGTTATTTGAGATCAAATTCATGTTATTTGCAATGTTTTTCTTTCACGAGCTAGAAACAAATTCATCAGGTAGAAGGGTTTCTAAATTGTTATTTGAGATCAAAATTCATGTTAGTTGCAATGTTTTTCTTTCACGAGCTAGAAACAAATTCATCGTAATGTATCAGAACCTAACACCAGGCCTTAAACACCGTCAAATTGTTTTAATGACGTTAATTTGGAATTTCAATTGTAAATGACATTCCTGTCAGCGATATTGAGAAAATCGAGCGTTGCGCAGTTATCAATGATTGGGCAGTTGAGCAGTGCTTTTCGTCGTTGGTGCTCATTCTAAGTCTTAGACTAACAGCCTCCCACCCATTTGAATTAGCAACCTTCTAACATTGAATGCGTGTCACTACGAAATGTGACTTATGTGTTTCATACATCTGTCTCTACCACCTTTTGTATATACGTGTATACAACACCACATACTGGTATGCTCGCTCCAACTCCTTATACCTCACCCTCATAGGCACTTCTCCCTCATGGGGAGAAGCGCTACTCATGCCTCCTCATCCAGGGGCGCTTCTGCTTCGAAGCTAATTGACGGACTGGACCCGTAGAGTGAGAGGCATACCCCCTCATCATCTTCATCACGACCAAGAAAACTGACGTCTCACTCGTCTTGGACGAGTGAGACGTTCCTCCAATTGAATTAAATGTAAACCTCGAATGCGGGTCGATTTCGAAGTATTTTGATGCCAGAAAGAGGTTGAAGGTTGAAAAATAATGAGCGCACCTAATATAAAGTCTGGTGCAATACGACTGGAAAAGTGACTGCGAGTTCGATCCCCCAGCTAAATCTAAAAATTTCGGTTGAAATCGGTGAATTGGCCGAATGATTGACAACAAAATGGTACCCAACATCCTTTTTAAATTTTGTTACTTCATTCCGGATTTGGTCGAATCAAGGAACTTTTTAATCTGGTGATGATTTTCAAAAAAATTTTGAAAACCTGAAGGATACTAATTGTTAATTAAAATTACTGAAAGGAGCGCTCAACCACTCAACCCGACTTTCCATGATTGCATTGCTTCGTCAGTGTCAGATGGCGTAGAAAGGCTGAGTTGGGTATTGTAGTTTTCCTTCACGATTTATAAGAAGAGTGGCCCAAGGCCATATTGTAAAATATTAATTTACTCAATTAATTTTCAATTTATATGTTTTATCACGAAATTGCATTGATTAAGAAAATTACATATTTATTCTCTGTTTCAGACCTATTAAAGGTTAGCAAAACCATTACCCGTTTATCGTTGATTAACTACATTCAACTTCATGATAACTCCATGAAAGTCAGACCTCCATTTTCAACAAGGCTTCAGCACACTCTGCTTCATCGTCGGGTTCAGTTGAGTTCGAGCTGGGAACTACCCTCACATCGCCGCTCGTTGTCGCCAAACTATTGCTCCCTGAAAAAATTTTTCACCTCATTGACACATTAATCGGTTAAAGTGTCACTAAAATCTTAAGAATAATATTGATCTTTATAACATTATTTATCGGGAACATTCAAGCAATTTTCTGAGTAGTTTATTTAGATTAAACTGATTAAACAGTTATATAACAAATAAAAAACAACAAAATTAAGCAGATGAGCCTTACATCATTTTGTTTCCGTGGATAAGAACATTAATTTTTGAGTTAACGAAGAATTAGTTTTTCATCGCCAAGACGATAATATAGAATTGATTATTTCCTTCATTATCACATTAATGGCAGTTCATATAAACGTTCAAAGGAAACATAGCCAGTTATGTCACTACTGCTACTGCAATCAACAGAAAAAATCATTGGAGAAGAAATACGTGTAAATTTATTACTGAATGCAACTAGGAAATCTAAATTGTGTTAAAAAGTAATCGATCTCACCATATTCGTCGAAGATCTCATGTGAGCGCAAGTATTCTGCAAAGCATTTGAAGATGTACAGGTACTGCTCCTGCAGACGCGATGAAGACAAGGTATAAAGCTTTATGTGACGATGAGTTAAAATCATTCCTATTGAGTGATTTTCGAATTCTACATGCAATTTGCGACCGATTTTAAAAACCGACATACGTTACTATAAAATGTTTACAGTAACTGCAGCAATTTTTATAGGGCCAAAATTTCAGAGAAAATAGAATAAAGGAAATCCAACAGACTGCATTTATTTTGTCTATCAAGCAATACCAAATTTTTCCGGAAAGGTGCCAGTATTTACTATTAAGCTTTTGCTGAATAAAAAATAACATTTGTGTCATACAATCTTTAAGGGGAGCGTCTGGGGTAGAATTTATCTCGGTAATTTACAAACGGATCGATTTGAAATTTGGTACACATATGTAAAACGGAATTCTAAGACTTTTTTATTCGTGTAAATTTTTCGAAAAAAATGAAAGAAAACGTGAAATTCATAGAAAACGGCCAAGAAAGGGGTACTTTAGAAAACCTATCTCCTCCTAGGATTTTCAAGCTACAACATCGAAACACATATCATTCGAAGCGTAAAGACCATATATAAAAAAGTTTGTATGCGTTTTTTTGGAATTCTCATTTTTGTGGATGTGGGAGCATTTTTTGTAAAGTTTTCGGAAATTTTTCGATTTTACCCCCCCCCCCCCCCCCTTTTGCAGAATAAAATCTAAACTATAACGAAATTAGAAAAACGCATACACACTTTTGTAGATCTTTTCTTTCCAAATCAAATGGTGTTTGTCTCATTGATGTAGCTTCAAAACTCTAGAAGGAAATAGGTTTGTCGTGGCAAAAAGTCAACTTTTCAGGACAGCGCGACAAAGTCCCGCGCGCATAGAAATAACCACTCAATGTAGCAAGTCTACAAAACTAAGCGTTACAGGAGCTTGATTCCAGTCGAGGATGGTGGGAGCTACTGCTAGCACACCAATCCGTAGGACACCAGTCGTGCTACTGAAGCTCAGCTCTAGCAGACAGTCTATTTATAGTGCTCGGCGGCTAATTTCCCCAATCTAATTTGTTAAAGAACTCCCCCACCTCCCTCCCTTTCACGATCTGCCCTGAACGCATAAATCAACATACAGAGATGATTTTGGTACCATTGGATAGCTTAGAATGTAAGCTTTAAGATGAGACTAAAACCCGGAAAGGCCAAAATTTAATTTTGGACCCAGACGCTCCCCTTAAGCGCCTAAACTATTCATAAACTTTCAAATCGGTGAATGATGTTCAAGCGCATCGCCACTACTCAATTTTAATAACCACCATTCCTCTACTACTACTACTATATACTCGTGAGTGACTACTCCGCCACGTGAGTGTATTAAGTGTACGTAGAATTATTGTAAATGATCTCAGGGATGTGACTCATATGCATTTCTTGAATTTAAAATGAATAAAAACTGACAGGGTGATCGAGAAATAGTTCATTATTTTTTTTTATTTTACCGTATATGTGCAGTCGGAAGTCACCATTGTAATGTATAATGCTTTATGTTTATATAATTCAATTGTTCATCAGCGTAAAAATGTCCGGTGTTCTCCTTGGTAATGAGAAATGGAAGAAACTCAATAAATAATCTGGTCAAGTTAAGTTCCAGTCTCCTTGGCATTTGTGGTTGTCATCGTGGTTATATGTGGAATGCATAAATTTCGTCAGAATATGCTGGCGAGGAGGGATCATATTTTCCGGCTGTTCTTCTTAGAATCTTACTCGCATTATGCGAACAGAACTCAGAAAACACAATGCCGCATTTAATCCATAATGAATGAATAAGTTACGAGATTTCTCGTGATTTAGAATCAAACGAAATTGAGCCTCGGCTGGACGAGTATATCTATCATAGCATGGCTATGTCGAGCAAGGCTCCTCTGAGCGACTGCGCTTGGCCTTCGTTAACTATTACATAGAATAAGCTTTAAAATTTCAGCCTTTTAATTCAATCGACACAAGCATATAGGTATGAAATTAATTGAATTCCACTTTGAATGCCAGCGGTGATTATGACAGTATTAAAATAACTTGCTTTCAGATTTTCGCTTATCACCTTAGACTGTACGAGCAAGTTGCGGTCTTCCCTGATCTTGAGGATGGTCGCGTCGATGTCGATGGGGGCGCCCCGCTGGTGCTGCTGCTGGAGGTTCCACAGCGCGATGAAGGTGCCCGTCCTGCCCACCCCCGCACTGACCATAGTCGTAAAAAATATAACTCAGTACTCATTGCAACGAGTGACAGAGAGCGCATTTTCTCGTCGACGAAAACTTGGTCACGGACAGACGGACAGACAGACGGACGGACATGACGAGCACAATAGCGCCTTTTTTCCATAAATGAGAAAATACGCTAAAAATGTGGTTCTTCAATCATAATCGAAATTCGAAATACAACCTACTTTAACATTTCGCTGTTTCACAAATGGATGCTTCTTATTGACGTGCTAATTATTTTCTGCATGGTCAACCAGCGTATATGTCAGTGAATTAACGAAAACCAGATTTAAATATCATTTCAGCGAACACATTATTTATATTATCATCATCAAAATTAGTATCGTTAAATCAGAGTACTATCCATATAATTTGCTGTACGATATGACTAGAATATTTTAATTTTGAGTTACTCAACTATGGTAAAAGATCTCTTTCTATGTTGAAGTTAAGCATTTATATAAAAGAAGCTTGAATCAACGACCTGCAGTGCACAACGATCGAGGCTTGAGGAACTTCAAAGTTCCCGACCAGTTCCTTGACGCTGCAGATGAGCCTCAACAGTCCCGCCTCGCTGGTCGGGACACCGTGAGCCGGCCACGACGTGAAGTGCAGCTGCACGATTTCTCTGGCAGGTCTTGGCTGGTGAAACCAGTAAAAAAATTAAAATTTAATTTTAATAAAAAAATTAAAAATTAATTCCTGGAATGTTAGCAAAATTTTACTAAATGCCGAATGCAAACTTTTTTCAGTAATATTTTCACAAGGGTTTCTTATATCCTGAGCTCGGATACACAATACAAATATTAATATATATACAATGAGCCAACTTAATTAAGGGGAGAATATTTCGGTGACATAAATTTTTTCTATATTAGTTGGCGAAATATTGCATGAATTCAGACACTGAATACAGTGAATAAGCAAGCAAATGAAAATGTTCTTTGAAACGAATTGCGGGTTAAATGTGTAGAAGTTGTCATGCATAGTAAAAATTGCAAGGAAATATTCAATACTTCGTTTTGCAGGAGGAGTTTGCGCTGTGTGTAGTCCGAGCCTTCCTCCTCAGCCAGTAGAGTAACAATATATTTTTCTGCCACGAACGATGACTTCACATCCTCCGGCCAGTACGTAGCACATTTTGCCTGTCACAAATTACAAAAGAAATTTAGACGATATCAGTCATTTTATTAACATTTGTAATTGTGCTGAATGTTAAAAAATTTCATGCACTTTTCGATTTTGAACCTCTGTAATTCATTTGCTTTACACGACTTTATATTATTTATTTAGATATTTTTTTAGTCACCGCACAAAATACTTTCCATCGAGAGCATTCTTTCAATAAAAAAATTTGCTGTTGAGGCGAACGTTCTTGTCTAACCATAATTACCTCACTACCTTCGTAGCAGTTCGTTAACATGACAATAATTTTTACTTGCTCCTGCCAGACCATGTGCCAGAAGTCCGACACAGTCCCAGGCTTCGGTCCCTGGCACGCGATGAAGCGCACGCTGCCGACGGCGTCCTACAACAACGAAGAATTTCATTGAACATTTAATACTAACGGGGAAAATATTCTCAAAAGACAATAGTCACTTTTAATATATGGATGATTTTGCATTAATTAACTCTTGTTGCGAAGTTTTTACCTATGCTCACTACACAATTCTTGGACTGAAACTATAGTGGCAAGATATTGCAGGAAAGGAAAATTGCAAATAAAACAAAATCTTTTATTAGAATAATTTTGCGGTCATTTCATTCGAATCTAATAGGAGAGTATGGTGTGGCATTCTTCATTTAATACAATTTAAACAGTAAAAATGGATAGATAGTGTTGAGATTCTACTCATATAGAACAACACCTTAACATGGCTGGCGTTGATGTAGTCTGTGCTCCACTCGCCGTGTAGTATAACACGAGTGTCGTCGACTGCAATGGTATAACTTGTAATCAAGTGTTTTTTATTCGTTACCGAGCGTCAAATATAAAAAAAGGAAGAAGAACAGAACTTTATTAATATGTTATTAAGGGTAATAATAAGATCACTCAGTGTAAATGAGAATATGAGTTTTTAATAGAGACCGAGAAAATCTAACTTGTAAAAACTTCTGTTTCTTTGTCACCATTAATGGCAGATTGAAACAGCGATACCCTTTACATTTTTTAATGTGAAATCGGAATTATGACTAGCTTTCAACAATCATAAAGAATTAAAATTATTTTTGTTTATTTTGTTCGGTAACAAAACAACAGGGATGTACTCACACGGCAAAATGTCGTGGTAACGATTTTTTTCGGCATTTTGATGGCGAAGGCCTGCGTCCTTGGTGGCGTCTCTGCTACTTGCACTCAGCTTCTCAAACGCAGTCAGCAACTTCTGGCCATCTTCTTCAAACTATACAAGTTGGGTTGAATTGAATATATGAACTATTTTAATTATGGTATTGCCCTACAATGTTTTTATGACATTTTAACAAATAATAATTTTTACATGGCAATTATTAAGCTATATCGCAAGAATGAGTTTTCGTTGTGTCATTGAAACACGATTTGGAGCAACGCACTCATTGGGAAAGGCCCATTGAAGACTTAGTGACGGTTCTCATATCTACAAGCTGTGTAATTACCTCAACACGGCGTCAGAAATTTTGTCACCTGCAAAATTGCATCCAGCATTCCTTTACGAAGATCTTCGTTGCTGCTTGACCTGCAATAAGTATTAAAAATGAGTTAATCTCTCGTAAAATTAGTGATAACGATAAATCTTCGTAGAACTTAGTGAGCGCTCGCATACAAGAGCGAGGTCAAGATGAAGATCAGATACAAAAAAAAACTCAAGTTTTATAGCAGTGCATTTCAGCAGTGGAAATAAAACTGCTGAAATCGTAAAAAGCCGTCACTAATTTTATCGACGAATTTTGACGACATATGCGATGACTGATTTTATAAGTAGACCATTAATATAATAGTATATATAAATACCTCGTAATCAAACCAGACTTTCGACCGCAACTGGATGATGGTGAGTGGAACTTCTCGCGAATGACTTCATGGTTGTAGACGGCGGCCGAGAGCCCCACGATGAGCATCACCACCAACAAGGCGATGACTACGACTCCTTCGGGATCTGGTGACGCTGTGGTGAACTGAACTACCACTGCTTCCCCTTCTTTCGTCGTGGCTGCCTACATGTGTTAGAACGCATGAATAAATACTGTGACAGGCCAACACACGGACTTTTGGTTATCTATTTCAGATTGGATTAAATTAGGTTAGGTTTAGTATTATTGGTCCAGGACTAACGGTTTTTCATAGTTAATGAAAAGCCATAACCGAGGATTTTTGAAATTGTTTGTTCTCTGTGCGGGAGTAAGATTCTGAGAATTTTGACTAGTTAAAAAAACAAATGGCAAATATTTGCCACTTGTTTATCTTGATAAATCCTGTTATCATGAGCGCCACACTAAGAGACCTCACACAATAGGAGATTTTGAGTTTTATTTTCAAGTGAGTTTAGGATAAGAAAAGCTTAATGGTATATAGCGTAGTGTTCATTAGAAAAGGTTAATGCACCACTTGTTCATGTTCTAGCCCCATATGCTGAAGAATTAATTCCGTGAACGGATTCTCACCCGCACGCTTATGTTGTAGTGCGTCCCAGCAGTCAGGCCCGCTACGGTGCAGTTGAAGCGGGTTTCATCAGGCCGGACGTAGAGTGTTACGTTTCTGCCAACTTCATCACTGCGACCGCTGCTGACGAAGTAATAGCGCACGACGCCGTTCAGCTTCTCGGGTGCTTCCCACTGTATGACGAGAGCGTTACTCCGGGCCTCAAGTAGTGTCAAGTTTCGGGCAGCGCTTGGGGCTACGGATAGTATAACAAGATTTAGCATAGGAATTTCGCCGTAAATTTCTTACAAACTATAAAATTGGCAGTCAAACTTCAAGGTGTCAACTTAACCTAAATTAGTGATGAATTATTAAGTCAAAACAATCTACTCCATAATTACTTAAAAGAAACAGTTAATGCTAACAGTTGATGAACAGTCGGGTAAGAGTCGCCCGCAATTACACACGTGGACGAGATGGCAAATCATTTAACATTGGTAAAATTGCATAAATTAGAAAAATTCACTATAAGTGCTCGCGTGTTTACTAGAATTCAGGGAGAGAAAGAAAATTAGGTATATCTACGGTGTTACCAGCTTCTGCTGTTGTGATCTTGCAAACCACCTCAGCCCCATTGGTTGAATTGTCCAACACGGCCTTCACTTGGAACGTGTACTCCGAGTCTGGATATGGCTGGTCCAGCACAAGTTGAGGCGTTCCTTCTCCGGTGGAATTTATGAACCCAATTTTGACGTTGGACCACTTCTTAGTAACGTTTGAGGTGATGGTAAATCTGGTGATCTTACAATACGTTTCCGGTTTGGTCCAGGAAACACTGATTGCACCCTTATCGTTTAAGAAACAATTTAGGTTTTGGGGAGCCGCTGGTGCTGTACAAAAAAATGTTCATTCAAAGATCAGTCTCTATGTAAATAAATCTCAGTAAATAAGAATAATAGACGCAGCGCAAATATTGAGAGGGTTTGTAAGTTGGATTTTTCAGTTTTTTACCATTTTAGGATCGGTTCTATAGATATTTTCCGATGATAAATATTTATAATCTAAATTCGGTGCTGAACATCTCGCATCAGGAGCTGCTTTGAACTCAGATACTCATCATTATATCTTATATTTAATATAATGCGGTTATTACTGCTCACCGGTAGTCATGGGACTCCCTTGGAATGAAATTTTCGGTCCCTCGCCGCGGCTCGTCAACGCTGCAACAGAGAAGTTGTAAACCCTGCACTGGACCAGACCTGAAACGTCGCAGGTGAAGCGGTTGCCGGGTGTGGTGATTATCTGTTCTTTGTCTGCTTCAGTACCGTTTCCCGCGAGCTGTGAGCGGATCGTGTAGTTAGTGATGATACCGTTTTCCTCCGTGGGAGCCAACCAGGTCACCCGCACCGACGTGGAATTCAAGGCTTCTACGTGAAGTTGAGTTGGCTCACTTGGAACTGAAAATAGGCAATGACTTGAAGTTGAATATTCTTACAGTCGACCTTTCCGATTAATGAGAAATGCAAATATTCCAGATATGGTTAATTTTTCACTGCAGACGTTAAAACACAAGTTGAATAACGGAACTCTATGCTTGATGAGACTTGGACTGAAATGGAAGTTCTAATGCAATATAAAGATCAGTTTTGCCCAGTTTTTTTGCAGCGAATACCCTGCAAATAATAAGTCGCTTTTCGGGCTTTGTATCAGCTGGGTACTTCTTTAACATTTTTAAGCAAGGAAGAAAGTTTACTGTGTAAAGTCATTACCTTTGTATCGTTCCGATCAGCAAACTTACTTCCTTGCTAGAAAAAAAATATTAAGGAAGTATACCCAGCTGATACATGCAAAGCCCTAAAAATTAGTTACAGTCATCATTTGCTGGGTTTTTGCAGCAAAAAACTGGGCAAAACTGATCTTTATATTGCATTAGGACTTCCATCTCAGCTCAAGTCTCATCAAGTGTAGAGTTCCGTCGTTCAACTTTGTTCTGGATAGAGTTGTTTTATCTTGATCAGTCTATGATCAACTTTCCTTATACTAGAGGCGGACTTGCTATCTACCATGTTATTTCATAATGCAATTTTAAAACTTATTCATTCACTATGTTCAATTACATGAATGATTTATGAAGACTAACGAAATTACCTTGGTTATTGAGAGCTTAGCTCCGTATAGCCGCTTACCATCAACCTCCGTTTGAATATATTGTGGTTGGGAAGGTACCCCTTCCCCAGCAGCTGTTGCTACTGCGACTGTGAAGGAGTATTTGCTGAAAGGCTTCAAACCAGTAAGTTGTATAGCCGAAGTAATGGTCTTTAGGGAAGTATCGTTAATTGTAGCATTAACACCCCACATGGCTTGCCCGCTGAACCTGACGGTGTATCCAACCACGGTGCATTTGGTGTCAGGTTTGATCCACGTCAGATTCGTGCTGCGACTCGACACAAAGAGCATCTGAGGAGGTCCGACAGCTGGTGGTACTGGAAACATGGAAAAATATCTTAGATAAATAAAAATGTTATAATGAATTTGTTCATCCACTCTTGGCTTACTATATATATGAAAATGAACAAGTTTTGTTGAACATGTATTCGTTGAGGTGATCATGCCCATAATACGAGCATGAAAATGTTAAAATGCATACGGCACGAGGTTCAAGAAAGTTGCCGGGCTGTTGCGCGTAATAAAGTTACCGATAGTGACCTGCCGGTCCCCCCACATAGCAACCCCCGTGTATGATACAACGTACTCCACACAAGCCCCTGCGTTCCCCCACGACACAGTGATGCTCTGGCCGATGTTAGAGCAAGTGACGTTGCTTACTGTCACTGGGCTTGAGGCTGACGAAGAGAATTTTCTTCAAAGTTTCCAATAAAATCGCGAAATAACAAAGGATTAGTTTTGTTTAAAATTTCAAATAAGATTTAATTTTATGCGAATTTAATACTATACAAAAAATTCATTAGATAAGTATATTTCGAAACTTTGAAATAAAAAGGATATTTTTTGCACAATATAATATTTTATTCCGCACTTAACCACATTAAAGCCTAATTGAATCAAGGACGGCAACGTTTTAGTTAAAACCGGTCATGGCAGGACAAGCAAAAAATTTTCGTCTTCACTCACCATCCAGCAGGGTGTAGTCAGCTGCTGACGCTGGGGTGCCTGTGAAGCTGGGGGTGCTTTGACTGAGCGTCTGAGGCTGCACCGTGACCGTGTAGAGAGTGCAGCTGCCAATGGTCGGGTACACGTCACAGCTCGAGGTGTTTGTTTTAGTCGTGTCAACGTAACACGATGCAGTAGGTTTATTCGCTCCATTTGGTGTCCATGACACCTGGTACCTTGAAACCATCCCAGTCTGCTCTTGTAGTTCCCACGATGCGTCAATCATCTTAACTTTTGGGAAGAGCTTCAGCTTGGTTACCAAGTCTGCTGTGAAATTAGTTTATTTCAAACTTGTTTGTAATAATGGTATACGAAGAGTGTATATAGGAGATACGTGGGTGACAGA